GGTGTGATCTCAGATCACTGTAACCTCCACCTACTGGGTTCAAGCAATTCTCCTGCCTCAGTCTCCTGAGTATCTGGGACTACAGCCTCACACCATCACCACACACAGCTTTTTTGTAGTTTTTAGTATAGATGGGGTTTCACCATGTTGGCCAGGATGGTCTCAATCCCTTGACCTCATGATCTGCCCACCTTGGCCTCCCAAAGTGCTGGGATTACATGCGTGAGCCACCGCGCCCGGCCTGCCATCTAGTTTTCTAATGTCACCAAGTGAATAAAAGACCTGTGCCAACAGGACCCAGCATGGTGTAATTCTCATGGTGTTTCTTTTTCTCTTATTGCAGGAGAAGCCTGCGGCCCAGCATCACCACCGTACGTATTCTTTTTCTTTTAAAGAGTTACTGAGACGTAGTTGACATGCAAACCAATTCACCCATTTAAAGTAGGTGATCCAGTGTTTTTACTATATTTACAGGGTTGTGCAGCCATTGTTACAATCTAATTTTAGAAACTCTTGATTCCCCTCAAAAAACCCCATTAGTAGTGACTCCTCTGTTTTCCCCAATCCTAACACCCCTGGTTCTGGGCAGCCCTCATCTACTTCCTGTTTCTATAGTACACTGCCTTTCTGTATTAAGTGGTTCTTAAGGTGACTGTTTCACTGTGATGAGGTTGCCCTAGCTAGGAAGCCAATGCTCTTTCATTTCTTTCTGCCCCTCTCCTTTGTCTTCCTTCAGCACCAAGGAGAATGGTCCAGCAGCAGCTCAGTCCATGCTTGTCAACCGCCCAGCTCCACACATTCCAGCCCCCTTCCACACTCCCCAAAGCTCCTTGTGAGATTCCTCAGGAGCACCAATGCACTGACTGTCACTCTGTGTTCTCCTAGCTCCTGTTGATCACCCACCAGAGTGCACCCTTGGCAGTGAGGAGGAGGAGGTGGCCTCTGACATGGTAACATAAATTTCTTTGTCTGGAAAATTTTTGTGTGGGGCTTCCAGACTATGAAGTGAATATGATTTTTGACTGCCATCGTAAATCAGGCCTCAGGGGGTCATGGAATCTAGAGACGGGTCACTGGAGATTATGACCAACTGAGGCCGGATGGACGATGTTCATCAAAAGAGGGCATTAGCTACAAACTGCTCATGAGCATATTTCTCAGTAGCAGCGTTTTCTTCTTGAAAAAATAATTTTATGTTTCCTAGTCAACATAGGCACTTGCTAAATGTTCCAAACCCACTGCCTTTTGTACAAGCACCCTCTATGCATTATTTGGAGCAGTGACTTGATCACTGTTCTACATCTGGTTTTCTCATTGTTGTGGTGGTTGTTGTTGTTTTGAGACAGAGTCTCTGTCACCAGGCTACAGTGCAGTGGTGTGATCTCAGATCACTGTAACCTCCACCTACTGGGTTCAAGCAATTCTCCTGCCTCAGTCTCCTGAGTACCTGGAACTACAGGCTCACACCACCACCACACCCAGCTTTTTTGTAGTTTTTAGTATAGATGGGGTTTCACCATGTTGGCCTGGATGGTCTCAATCTCTTGACCTCATGATCTGCCCACCTTGGCCTCCCAACGTGCTGGGATTACATTCGTGAGCCACTGCGCCCGGCCTGCCATCTGGTTTTCTAGTGTCACCAAGTGAATATAAGACCTGTGCCAACAGGACCCAGCATGATGTAATCCTCATGGTGTTTCTTTTTCTCTTATTGCAGGAGAAGCCTGTGGCCCAGTATCACCACCGTATGTATTCTTTTTCTTTTAAAGAGTTATTGAGATGTAGTTGACATGCAAACCAATTCACCCATTTAAAGTAGGTGATTCAGTGTTTTTGCTATATTTACAGGGTTGTGCAGCCATTGTTACAATCTAATTTTAGAAGCTCTTGATTCCCCCTCAGAAAACCCCATTAGTAATGATCCTCTCTTTTCCCCAACCCTAACACCCCTGGTTCTAGGCAGCCCTCATCTACTTCTTGTTTCTATAGTACACTGCCCCTCTGTAGTAACTGGTTCTTCAAATGATGATGTCACATTGATGAGATTGCCCTAGCTAGGAAGCCAAGGCACTTTCCTTTCTTTCTGGGCCTCTCCTTGCCTTCCTTCAGTACCAAGGAGAATGGTCCAGCAGCAGCTCAGTCCGTGCTTGTCAACCGCCCAGCTCCACACACTCCAGCCCCAGTCCACATTCCCCAAAGCTCCTTGTGAGATTCCTCAGCAGCACCAATGCACTGACTGTCACTGTGTGTTCTCCTAGCTCCTGTTGACCACCCACCAGAGTGCACCCTTGGCAGTGAGGAGGAGGAGGTGGCCTCTGACATGGTAACATAAATTTCTTTGTCTGGAAATTTTTTTTGTATGGGGCTTCTAGACTATGAAGTGAATATGGTTTTTGACTGCCATCATAAATCAGGCTTCAGGGGGTCGTGGACTCTTGCGACTGGTCACTGGAGATTATGACCAACTGAGGCCTGATGGACAATGTCTGTCAAAAGAGGGCATCACCTACAAACTGCTCGTGAGCATGTTTCTCAGTAGTAGCATTTTCTTCTTGAAAAAATAATTTCGTATTTTCTAGCAAACATGGACACTTGCTAAATGTTCCAAACGCACTGCATTTTGTGCAAGCATCCTCTATGCGTCATTTGGGGCAGTGACTTGATCACTGTTCTACATCTGGTTTTCTCATTGTTGTTGTTGTTGTTTTGAGACAGAGTCTTTGTCTGCCACCAGGGTACAATGCAGGGGTGTGATCTCAGATCACTGTAACCTCTGCCTACTGGGTTAAAGCAATTCCCCTGCCTCAGTCTCCTGAGTATCTGGAACTACAGGCTCACACCACCACCACACCCAGCTTTTTTGTAGTTTTTAGTATAGACAGGGTTTCACCATGTTGGCCAGGATGGTCTCAATCTCTTGACCTCATGATCTGCCCACCTTGGCCTCCCAAAGTGCTGGGATTACATGCGTGAGCCACTGCGCCCAGCCTGCCATCTGGTTTTCTAATGTCACCAAGTGAATACAAGACCTGTGCCAACAGGACCCAGCATGATGTAATCCTCACGGTGTTTCTTTTTCTCTTATTGCAGGAGAAGCCTGCGGCCCAGTATCACCACCGTATGTATTCTTTTTCTTTTAAAGAGTTACTGAGACGTAGTTGACATGCAAACCAATTCACCCATTTAAAGTAGGTGATCCAGTGTTTTTACTATATTTACAGGGTTGTGCAGCCATTGTTACAATC